ATTAACTGAACCTAACTATTTTTACTTAAGAATACTAAAAATACTTAGCTGACAGTTTAATAATTATGACTATATATTTAACAGTGAATATTATGGCATTCCTCATACCATTGAATAATAGAGGTAGAAAGAGATGTAGCTGCCTGCCTAAGATTACCAGCCAAGTCTCATATGTACCTTGCTCCTGTACTATTTTTTAAATTCTGTTCTTTCTTGTTCTTTCTCTCTCTCCTTTCTTTTCTTTCTTTCTCTCTCTCTCTACGTCTCTCTCTCTCTCTTTCTCTCTCACTGTTTTTTTCAAGCAGAAGATAAAATTATTTGTATCTAGTCTGAACCATCATTTCTCCTAAATATCTATGGTTCTCTTCAGTGATGTATATTTCTTTATGAAAGTGTTTTGGGAATAGCTACGGTTATATGCCAGTTTGTTATATAAGACCTCATAAACGACTATAGCCTTAGTAAAGAGAGTCACAGCAGAAGTCAATTCATCTCTAATTGTAGCTCAAATTTTTATTTTAAAATAAAGGAATATGTCTTGCTTAATAAATACATTTATATTTGTCAGCATTTTCTGAACTCCTGTACTCTGTTGAATATATTTATATAACAGCTCCTTTTGTTTTAAAATATAAATAAATCATTTGCAGATTTGCATGAAAATTCAAGTAAACTTAAAAATGAATTGGCTTGTTCATGAAAACTACGATTATTCAAATTATACATGGATTTCAATGAGCATAAACAAATTGCATAATTCTAGCATAGCCTTTCATTTTTAAATCCAGGGTTAACAAATTTTTCTAGACATTTAAATTTCTTCATTAAACTGATTATGACTGAGGATTTACCGCATTCAGTTTCTATCTGTGCTAGCTGTTGGAATACCAAAATAAAGGTGTTTTAGCCATAGTAAGAGCACTGTGGGAGAGCAAAGCACAGAGGAGGAAGATTCAGCACAACCTGGAAATTGTGGGTGTCTTCCAAGCTCCAGAGCCATGGACCCAGCTGCCTACTCAAAATACCGCCTGAACACATCTTCCTTCAAACTGTGTGTCTACTTTGGTGTCTTCTATTTCAGAGGTTGGCATTAATATCCATGCACTTACACCAGCTAGAAACCTGGGCATAACTTCTCACTCTTCCCCACTCAGCCAAAGTCTGCCTCCAAAATCATGTGATGATTCTGTCTCCAAAACTGTCTCTCCCCTCTGCCAGCACCACCAGCCACAGTTCTGTCATCCCTTGCTTGGACTTCTAAAGCAGTCTTCAAACTGCTCTCACTGTAACTACTCTTACCCTCTCTATTCTCTGCACCCTCACAACTCAGCATACTCGGCATTTTGTCTTCAACATCTATCTTCTTAGCTAGACTAGAAAGTCCGTGAGGAGAAGAACCTTGTAGATCTTTTGACATAGTAGTACCAATAGCTTGCATGTTACTTGGTACAAAGTGGTATGAATTAAATATATGTTAAATGAATAAATGAAAGGCTGACAGACAAGGGACAACAAACACATAAAACAAAGAGGAAAAAGAAGAATCTCAACAAAGACTGTGGAAAGCTCAATAGTACAATGTGTTCAGTGAACCACAACTAGTTCAGCTGTACTTAATTTTAATATACATACACAGCAAAGAATCCCTTTTAGAGGTAGGTAGCATGGATTCATGAACTTTAAGCACAGGCATTGGCCTAAATTGTTCTAAATAGGGAGGCAGTAATACAGTCTTATTTGCATTTTTGATAAATAATGACAGCAACAGAGGGGAGAATGTTTAAAGGCAGGTTAGTTAGAATGCTTTTAATTGCAAATCAGCAAGAAGAAGCTTAAGTAAAAAGAGATTTACTATAAGGATATTGGAATTTCTCACGGAAGTCAATCATAGATAAATGGCTGGGCTATAAGAATATTCTGAAACCTGGATTGTGCTCTACTCCTCTCTGCTCATCAACTTTAAGGGTATTACTTCAAGCTACTAATATCAATTTCATCAGGTCATTTATCAGGAAAAGATACAGATAGTGCATTTTAATAGTATAACAACAACCTGAATGAAGAGAATACTCTCACAAAATCATTCTGAAGAAGGTCATTTCTGCAGGAGTACTGTAAGAGTTTTTAAGAAACCTGTAGCAATATTAAAATGCTAAAGATACGGTTTTGGGCATGTGCAGTGGCTCATGCCTGTAATCCAGACGCTTTGGGAGGCTGAGTTGGGCAGATCACAAGGTCAGGAGTCCAAGACCAGCGTGACCATCATGGTGAAATCCTCATCTCTACTAAAAATACAAAAATTAGCTGGGCGTGGTGATGCATGCCTGTAATCACAGCTACTCAGGAGGCTGAGGCAGAAGAACTGCTTGAACCTGGGAGGTGGAGGTTGTAGTGAACCAAGATCACACTGCGCTCCAGTCTGGGTGACAGAGCGAAACTCCGTCTCAGAAAAAAAAAAAAAAAAAAAAAAAAAAAAAAAAAAAAAAAAAAAAAAGATACTGTTTTGGAAAAGAGCTGTATTAGTGTTACGTTTTAGTAACTAAGCCTCACTAAAAGAAGAGACATGCGATAGAGAAAAGAACTAAAGATAGGCTGGGTCTGTCTCACAATTTTGCCTGGAACTAGCCCTAGTCAGGGAGAAATCTGTTTTTCCTCTGAAGCCAATGGCAAGATAGAAAAGAGGAAAGAGGCGACTTCAAATCAGTGTTATACAGGAAAAACAGCTCCTGAAAAATTCTGCTTACATATTCGATAAATAATTATTGTTAAATACATACTTCCATGATAAATTTCTGAGTTGCTATAACTGCTGCTGTCATAGGCAATGTCAGAAGGTTTGATTTGGTCTTTTTCACTCATTTTTTCCCCCATCTGACTTACTAGAGTAATCATTGTCACATGAGGCCTCTCACGTAGGCCAATTATGATTATTTCTTCCCAGTTTTAGAATCACAGTAAGCAATCAACATTTGAAAGATTAAGGAAAGCTACATAACTAAGACTGAAAAAAGGCTTATATATTTAGCTACTAGCCTGTTTTGCTGATTTTCAGTTAGAAAAATGTTGTCTGTTTGTGTAGAGATTTCTCAAGAGGACACATAAACGAGATGTTGCAATTCTTGCTACATGTAGTTTATCATTAAACGAACGTGGCGAATGTTATTGCAAAATCAGAGATAAAGTTTAATCTTTAAAACAATGAAAGAATGAGCTTGTCTTAAACTCTGTAATAAAATTTGTGGGAAATAATCTGAGTGTATCTTTTTGAATGAACTAATCATCAGAAGATAACTGAAATACGGTTAAGTGAGATACAGAAGTATAAATACATTATATTATCTTAAATAAAAAGGAAAACTGTAGCAATACACTAATGTGTTAGTTATTTCTCTGAGTTCTGGGGGTCTGAGTACTTTTTAAATTTTTCCGCATTTTTTAAAAATTTTTAAATTTTTGGAGTTTCATTTCCAAATAATTTGCATAGAACTAAAATATATATTTTTAATTAACTTGCACAGTAAACTAGGAATTGGGCCAAAGGGAACAGAAAATTTAGATTTATATTAGTCAGGAAGTTGATCATTGAACAGGATAGAGTTAGCTCTTGGGCAGGAAAGCTATCTCCTTGACCATATGGATTTCCACTGGCCCTACAGAGATACTTGTCCTTTGATCTGACATAGGTATATTTGTCCAACTAGCTGGACTTATTTTCTGAAACTAACACCCAGGAATTTTCAACATAGATAAGAATCTGCTTAAATTGGTTTACTGAGATTTTGATGGACTCTGCCCTTGTAGATAATCCTTGGCTACTGAATTGATAACGAAGTTTTAAATCATTTATCTGTGAGACCCTGGACACAGGGCTGGCTTTAACATCTTCTGCTGTGTTTCAATGGCCTCATTAGTTCCATCAACCTTCCCAGATATTATAAATTTGGAAAGCCAGTGGGAGAAAGTGGCAGTAACTAGAATAATAGTAATAGGTGACATTAATCCATGTTACTATGTGATGGATGTTACCATGAGCCCCGCACCTGGATTATCTTAACCTCATAGCCTTGCTGTGTCCAATGTACTGAGTTATCACCACATTGCATATGAGGAAAATGAAACTCAGAGGGAAAGATTTCCCAAGGTTACACAGCTACGAAAGCTGAGTAAGGATTTGATTTTAGAGTCTGTGTAACAACCCATAACTGACCATTTCCTGAAAAGAGGACTATTGAAAAAACCAGGAGTGGAATTCATCTAATTCCAATGAATGATCGATCTACCTGCAAATCTCGGATAAGTCACAGAATTTATCCAGTGCTCAGTTCCCTCTTCTGTAAAATGAAGATGTTGGATTCCATGTCCTACAAGGCCTCTCTGAGCTCTCAAATTACATGCCATAAAATACAGCAGATGTGAACTATTAGTAGAAAGAGCTTTAAAATTGCTGTAGGAAGTCCAAGATTTGCCTCTAACTTTTGATCATTGGCAGTGGGTGAGCCATTTAACCTCTCCGGTAATTTGCCTCACTTCAAAGTTTATTTTTAATATATATGTCAGTTCTTCACAAAGTGTAACATAGCACATAAATACAAAATATTATACCATCACCTCAAAGAAAATTACTTTATAGCATCAGGATTATGGATTCTAGAAACCATGCTGAATGGGCTTCTCCCCTTATTACTTAGAACATCTGGTTTGCAATATTTTAAGGTAATGCTTATTTGTAGTAGATTTAAACAAAGAGAGGAAGAGAGGTAAAGAGAGATAGTTTCCAATTATCCACTTGCATATGAGAAAGGTGGAGTCCAAACAAGACACATAGCCCTATACAGGGGGAGAGGGTATCCCTTACAAATGTATTAAATAAACTTTAGTGAGGAACAGCAGTGATAAATAACCTAATACCTTGGCTCTTTTGCAGTTTGACAAAGTTAATGATTAAAATCTCCCAGGTTTTCCACTACAGTATCCCTGGGGTGTCTATTTACCTTGATTTTATCTCTTTGGGGCCAAGGATAATAGCCTCTCGCTTCTGTGTAGAGATTAATAATTGATTAGTTCATAGTCAGGAATCTTCGTAAAAGGAAACCAGTTACTTTTGGCTCCCACCTTTTACATGATCACCTGCAGAAGCCAGGAGGTGCTGCAAGACTCCCTGGTACAAAAATGAAGAAGGTCCTGGTACTACTCCTGCTTGCTGTGGCATTTGGGCATGCTTTAGAGAGAGGTAAGATTTATTTGTTGTCACCATTTACAGGAACTCTTACTAGTTTAATTGTATATTACCACTTAAAAAATGAAATAAAAGGTAAGAAACAGAAGAACTGGTGAATATGTTGGGGAGAGGGGTAAAGACCAGAGAGGAATTAATCAGAGCTCCACTGTGCCATGTAATGTTGAATTGGTATAGACAAAAAAAATCAAGACGAGCATCTTGGTAAAGAAAGAAAATGGAATTATATAATTTCTCAATTATCCCTCCCCTGTTTTTTGATAAGCAAGACCTAAAGAGAATTATTTAAAATTAGACATTTCCTAATTGTTACAAGATTATGCAAATAAAGACCGTGATCCATCATTAAGCATTTATTCAGACTTCAAATATTCATTGCCATCAAGGGTATAAGATGCCATGTGAATGATGTGTGATGTCAACTTAGAGATTTCTTTGACCCCTTTAGAGGAATCCTATACATGCAATATTTGAAAATGTACTGTTTTTAAAATACCCCTCACATATTTTGTGAGGGGTATTTTAAAATTTTTCTATAGCTATGAAACACAACCACAAATAAGATAATTGAGTTATATTTTTTATTAAAATTGTTCTTCAGATGGTGTCTTTATCTTTGGGCAATGTTTCAAAACTTTTTTATATGATACAAACTGAGATAATGTGAAGTATACAACTTTATGAATTCTACATCTGGGAAACTTTTCAGCATTAGTTTCAATTTATTTTTCTGGCTGATTATTTAATGTTCACAAGGGAAATCTGCATTTACCCTGCTTTGTAAAATTAAGGTTTTCATTTAGTGCTATCAGTTAACAGCCTCACCTAACTCATACACTATTATTCATATTAGTAACATATTTAACCAGTAGAATAAAATGTGTGTTCCCAGAAATTATCAGTTATTTACTGTGACATGAATAACCTTACTCCAGACTTTTTATTCTTCTTCTTACATTTAATTTTCCTTGATCTTACTTTCATCATTCAAATTATTTTAACTCTTGTCTTACTCATCAGTTCTTAAGTAAGCTGTGTGTCCTTAGCTAAGACTACAAAGTCTTTCCAAGATAGTGTAGGGTATAAAAAAGCAACATAAATTGTATCCCTTATAAGACCTCTGAATAGGCCATGTTCCAAGAAATCCCAAAGTCTTATTCTTTTGGCCGAGGCTTTGCTGGGGCAGATATGATCCTGAAAAATCCTACTGAAGAAGATTCAGATCAGGATCTTTAAACATAGACCATCCAATAAGGAATGGAATTTGAATTATATGTAGAGGTTATAACCAGGAGCATGAACCACTATTTTAGACTGCTGATTCAATAGGTATGCATTGGCTTCACCTCAAAGAATGACAGCATCCTTTGGAGAGTAACAGAGCATTCTGCATTCTCTATTTCAACATTCTCGGCAGTCCTCAGATTCTGATGAAACAGATGCTAAAAATCTCCAGTCAGACCCCTTAAAGATCTGAATTTTATTCTTATAACCCCTGTGCTATACGCCAGATGATATATTGAGATATACATAATACACTTGGCAAGCATTAACATTCAATATTTGGGGGCAGTAGCTCTGATTCATCATTTATCCATTCTCTAACACATGAGCATGACCCAAAGACCAAGTCAGTAGTGTACTTAGAAGCTAGCTGTGTTTTCTCCCGGCAGGGAGTTATAAAGTGTACAAATTAAGGGAGTTCTGGGGACTCTTAGGTTCTAAGTAGACTTGGATTACGGGAGATTGGTTTCAGTTGCAGTTTTCTCTGCATTTTATAGTTCTAGAGAGCTGACCATCCACAGCATTTATTTAAGCACCTGTTCCAGAATGTATTACATTTGAGACTTATCTTGAAAAGAAGTTTCTGTGGCCAAACATACTTAAGAAATGAGTCATACATTATCCTTCTTGGTGGTTTCACAATCAATGCCTTTGTTGTCCTAAAGGTTCTGAGAAACACTATCAGAAAGAAATTTAACTCAGGGTTTCTCAACATATTGACTCTTTTCTACAATGACTGTACCTATGGAACTATTCTTTGGAAACCTTGGGTCTAAAATGGATACTGTTACAGCTCAATCTTCACTGGACAGGCTCCAATTAAGCCAGTCCTCTACTGTCAAACAGCATTGGGAATCTTGTTCCCAACCCCTTGGGTATATCTTGGAGAAAAGAGCTTACCAAATCTGATAAATCTGGATAGTGTCATAAGAAAATGTCCACTTTTGCTATCCTATGAGAAGCAAGAAGGCAGCGTTTGCCAGTTGCCTCCAAGTAGCTTCTTCCCCTAGGACTGAAATGGATGCAATCCTAATATAAAACATATCCTTCCCTCTTCCCTTCCAAAGAAACCAAGTAGCAAAGACTAGTGACAGAGCTACAAAATTATCAAAGTAATTATGCCAGCAGGAAATAAACCACTGCAGTTGATAGGAGTTGTTGACAAGAACAGGCTTTTATTATGAACATTTCCTTTTTTGCTTTAAGCATTTCATTTTTAGCACATATATATATATATATATGTATATATATATTAAACATTATACTAAACTGCAAGAAAAAAATTTCCCTTTGGGTTGCTGGAAGTTCCCTTTGGGTTGGCCCTTCCCTTCCTTCCCTGTCAAAACAGCCCTACACAAGGGCTGAAGTCATACAGGCAGCTAACTTCATCCCTGAGAGCAATGTTAAACTCCCTGAAAATCAATAGCAACGTTTCATCTTATTGATATCAGGTGTAATGCCACATATACAGTCACCATTATGTGTGTAATATAAGGATAAATATACACACTTTCTAAAAGGCCACCAACTTAATCTACTTAGGATAGGAGGAAGATGAAGACACACCTAAAAGGAATTGATGATACCCCTCCCCAATTTTTTGGCCAACTAACTTCTTCATTCTACCCGTTGCTTCCCCTCTCTCTCTTTTAATTTTCTCATTCATTCTGATCTGACCACACGTTATCTCACACTCTAAGTCCTTTGCACCCCAGGCCTTTGCATTAGCTCTTCCCTCCTCCTGGAATATTGATTGTCCAGATGTTCTCATAGCTCCCTTTCTCACCTTGTTCAGGTGTCTACTTATAGAAGGGGCTTCCCTAACCAACCTACCACAAATGACGCCTACCACTCCATTACCTTACTTGGATTACTTTTCTTCTTAGCACTTAGTACTTTACCTTATCACTCGTTGTTCATTTGTTTATTGTAACAAATGTAGAATGTAAGCTCTGTGAAATTAAGAACTTTTGTTATTTCCTGTAATTCCCAGTTATAGAACACTACTTGGCATTTAGTAAGTGTTCAATAAATTTGTGTGTAATATTACAAAATTGGGATTTTGTATATTTATGTCTACTATCAGACTCAGGTTCCTTAAAGATTGGTGGCTTTAGAGTTTTCTTTCATATGATGCCGTGCTTCCAGTAGATAGTCAATGTGTCTGTGTATGTGTGTGTTTGTAGATAGATAGATATGTACATATATATATTGATATGTATAACACTGGTAACAAACTAACCGGATTTAGCTAATAATAATAACTGCCAGGTATATTCTGCTTCCTAAGGATATAATCATCTTCACTTTGCAAATGATAAAACTGAGGAAGAACAGAGGGGATAAGCAACTTCCCAGGGCAGCAGGGATTCAAATCCAGGTGGTCTGCGTCCAAAACCTCTTTCTTAAATCATGATAAAATACAGCCTCATATGGATGTTTTATTTGGTCCTCATGGTTTGGGCCAACAAAATTTCTTTAAGGCTGTCTTTAAAATCTCATTTGACTTGTCAACATTTTAAAACCTGGAGGTTCCACATGAAAATCTAGATTTCTAGCTTCTCTGGAAGCACAGGAAGGTGTGGTAATAAGGGCCAAAATTTCACATGGCAATGATGAACTAGAGCTGAATTGTGACTCCTCCTTTTGGACTAAACCCCCAGTTCTCACCATGGGGTATTTAATCCTTTCTTCCCTTGAATCAAATGTAAGTTGTGTAGTTCCTAGATCCTAGGAGCATTTGTGTTTGCTAACCTGGGTGTCATGGTAAAATAGTAACTTGAGGTTTAACGCTACCTAAAGAAAAGAATATTAACCAACCGGGTGCAGTGGCTCATGCCTGTAATCCCGGCACTTTGGGAGGCCGAGGCAGGTGGATCACAAAGTCAGGAGTTCGAGACCAGCCTGACCAACATGGTGAAACCCTGTTTCTAATAAAAATACAAAAATTAGCCAGGTGTTGTGGTATGCATCTACAATCCCAGCTACTTGGGAGGCTGAGGCAGGAGAATCATTTGAACCCAAGAGCTGAGATCACATCACTGCACTCCAGCCTGGGCGACAGAGGCAGACTCTGTCTAAAAACAGAAAAGAATATTAACCAGTGATTTTATCTTTGCATTTAAAATAGGCAAAATAATTAGTTACCAGCCATACCTTTCAAAGAAACCACACGTGAATTATTTAAATATGTTTACATTTTACAAATTGTGTTTTTATCCTACAGAAGCAAAACTTAAGTAAAATTTTTAAATGCAAATAACTGTGATTTTGTTATCTGTTTAAAAATATAATAGCAAGAGCACAGTCATAGAATAACACATTTCAGTCTTCAAATTTTACCACATATCAAAGTAAATTTGTTATTTTGATATTTATCAGTTCTGCTGCAAATGTTAGGTGACAATTGGTTTTTAAATGAAATGTATTTATTTGACAAATACATACTAGATTTTTTAAAATATAAATAACAAAATACATGGTTGGATTGTTGACTAGGCTAACATTGAAGTGGGTGTTCCTTAATAGTTTTATTATAAAATATGTGTCTAAGGAATTATATCCTGGTGACAATTGGGATGTAACATCTAGTATATATCCTCTAGAAAACAATGGCATTCTATTTTCTTTCTTTTTTTTTTTTTTTTTTTTGAGATGGAGCCTCACTGCTCTGTCACCAGGCTGGAGTGCAGTAGTACAATCTCTGCTCA